TTTTATTTTTTTTTTTTTTTTTGAGAGAGAGACCACGAGCGGGAGGAGAGGGCGGGAGAGAGTCTCAAGCAGGCTCCGTGCCCAGTGTGGAGGCCAACTCCGGGCTCTGCCTCAGGACCCTGAGATCACCACCTGAGCCGAAATCAAGAGTTGGGCACTTAACCGACTAAGCCACCCATTTGCCCCACGTTTTAAGTTTTTACAGAGAGAAGATATCAAAGTACTGCAGATAGAAAATGTATTTCTTCCAAACCAAACAGGCCTAATAGTATCACCTAGATAAGGTGCCTGGCACGCAGTAGGTGCTCAATTAATGGGAGCTATTAGCATCATTGTCCTCATCCACAAACATTTGTTGAGTGTCTATTATGTGCGAGCCATCATATTCAGGCTCCATAGGGAGGCAGAGAAGTACAAAACAAAGTCCCTGCTCTCACATGCACAAAAAAACCCCAAACGCCCAATGGCAGTGTTTACTTTGGGTCCAGTGAGTGCTATAGAAAATAAAGCCTTTAAGAAGTTGAAATGAGAGAGAGATCATTTCCAGCTGGCCTCTTCAGGGGAGGTGGGGCTTGTGCGAGGCATTGAGGAAAAGGGAAGATTTCAATAGGCAGAGAAAGGGGGAAAGAACATTCCAAAGGCAGAAAAGAGCGTGGTTCAAAGGGCAAAGGGACGCAGTGGGCATGCGCAGAAGAGGCCGAGGGGACATTTGGCTTGGCTCCCCCGGGGTCTGCAGGAGACAACCAGGCCGGATCCGACGCCGGCAAGAGCCGGCAAGAGCCGGCCTCGCCTCCCTCAACTGCAATAACACAATCTCGAGCCCCAACCCTTCCGGTACCTGGAAGGGGGCCAAGAGCGACTTTCTTTACAATTCTTGACCCTTGCGGGCTGAGCCTAGACTGGGAAGCAAAGTGGCCACGGCGATTAAAAAAAAAAACCGGGGGAGGGGATCCTTTCCCTTACCCGCCGGGGCCCAGGTGTCCGCAGGGCCGACGCAGCGAGCGGTGGGTGCAGAACGGGGGGCCCGCCGTAACGTGCCGTACGTGCATGCGCCTGCTGCTACGTGGGGCGTGGGGGGGCCGACGCGTGAGCGCGCACGTCGTAATGACAAGTGGTATTTCCTGTGATTGTGTGCTGTGATATACGGGGTTGAGTTATGAGGGCAGTGTGTGCTAACCACATTCCTGAAGGCTAATCTCTGTGAGCCACCAAGAAGGGGGCAGAGGGAAACGAGCGGCCGGCGACGGATCTACCCGCAGATCGCGGCCGCCCGCCGTGGGCAGCGCCGGGGCCTCCGGGGGAGGGGGGCGGCCTGGGGAGGTCGCGTGGCGCTGTTCGCACAGGGCGCCCAAGTGATCGGGAATAAAACCGGGGGCGCGGGGGGTTGCATCTAGATTCCAGGCAGCGCCAGGGTGGCCTCTTCATCCGCAAAGTGCCACACCGTGGCACCCCGACACCGTCCTCGATCTGCTGCCTGTGTGTATCTAGCCACGGCGTGTACGAAGAGACTAGGGATAAACACTTTTTTTAAAAAAGTTCAAGCTTGATTAGCTGAACACCACAAGGCCCTGGGAAATTGAATTTAAGAAAAATTTGGATAATTGGAACAGCATATAATATCGAGAATGTTAAATACACAAGTCGGCTGAGCACACAGAGTTTATGGCAAGCTCTGATTAAAATGAAGTTTCTGATAATCAAAGTTTTAATGGCAGAGGCTCATTTGAATTTCTTCTGTCTAGAAGGGAGATTAGATATCGTGTGCGCAGAATATCTTGTGATAGTTTCCAGTCTTCCCGATTCCAGTTGGGTCACATACATGCTTTGTATGTATGTATTTATTTCGTGAAAAGTACTCTATCCTCTGGTCGGCCCCCAACTAGCCCAAACAGGACTTGCCACAGATGTGTTTATCAGATTGCTCTGCAAATGCACGGAGAGGAAAAGTCTGCCTATCGTCTAAGTGATTTCAAAATCAAAGCCATCCCAGGCACACCAGAAGTCTAAAGCAGCCGAGAGATAGGCCGAGTTTATAAACTTCCATAATATGTTTATTGCAAGGATGGCAATTACCCAATATCCCTGCCCTCCTGGGTCTTAGATCAGAATATTTCCACAAAAAGAAATCTGTGTTCGACTGCATTTAGCCGGTCATAATTCCAGATGTCTGGAATATTCCAACACCAGGCGTGGGGCTGGGGAGGAAGAAAGGAAGGAAGCCGCTGATCATTGTTATAGCCTCGTTGTCGTCTGTGCTGGCTGCTGGCCCCTCCTCCTCCTCTCCCTAATGGCCAGGTGTCACAGGAGTATCGTTGTATTTGGGGGGGTGGGGATGGGGATGGCCGTCCCGAGCCACCAGCAGGCTTTTCTGTCCGGCTCTGGAAACCCGACACGTCACATCAGAGACGTAATGTCCTAATGAAATGACGGGAGTGTGCGTAATTTTCGCGCGAACGGAAAATGCTGACGTGGCAGAAAGGGCGCTTGTTCCTGCGGTTGCAGGAACACATGTGGGCCACATCGCTCGGGAATGAATCAGAGCGACAGTACAGGGCAGCCTGCTAAGAGAATTACCTCCTCGCGGGCTCCTATGGAGTGTTAAGGTTATTTACGGCGTGCGCACACGCCAGCCCATTTTGCCCTGCTCGTTGGAACACAAACTTGGGTGAGTTCAATCATTTGTCCCAGACTCCTTCCTGAGCCTCAATAAGAGAGGCAGGGTGGTTCTGCAGAATCGTCAGTAGGATTGAGTCTGCCCTTTCCTCTGGGGCTCTTCTGGCAAACATTAAACATCACAACACCCCATCAAGGGAAGGTGAGGTGCTCATTTCACAGGTGCCAAGACTGATACGAAGGTTTTGCCTCCATGACACCTTATGGCCAACGGTATAGATTTTTTTACCCCCAGCAAACAGATGTGGTGGCTTGGGTATGGCGTGGCTGAAGAGGTCAGAGTTTCTTCTGATCGCAATGGGGCTGGGGGTGGGGTCTTGAAGTCTGAAGCCTTTTTTTTTTTTTTTAAAGATTTTATTTATTTATTTGACAGAGAAAGACACAGCGAGAGAGGGAACACAAGCAGGGGGGAGTGGGAGAGGGAGAAGCAGGCTCCCCGCCGAGCAGGGAGCCCGATGCG